CACTTTCGACAACTCTGTCGCGTCGGTCACCGGCTTTCCTGTGAGAGACAAAGACGTGTCAACACTATTGGATCAAATGCCTGACTAAACAACACATACCGTTGGCCTTCAGACCCATGAGTTTCTGGCGCTCGGGTTTGACGCCTGTCTTCCTATAGATGGCCTCTTTTAGGTCCCGTACGGTGTCATCGGTGGTCACGGAATCGATGGCATACTCTTGAGAACTCCACTTAATGGTCAGCGTTAGCCCATTAGTGGCCGCCGACACCCCTTCCTCCTCCTCCGCACCGGCGGTGACCGTCGTCTCAGTCGCTGACATTGTCTCGTAATCTCTCACTCTTGGGATCAGATCTTCGGTGATGTGATGAATGTCTTTGTTTTGCACAACAATTCAGTTTTCACTTTGTTTTGAATATTTCAGCTGTTTTTTCAATCAATGTTGTGTTTCACCGACTGTTCAGAAACTACGTGACGCGCGCATAGGGTTGGGTGGAGTGAAGGGTTGTGTTGTATACGCTTTGTTTAGATTAACAATCGGTGTGTCGCTTATGTGGGGAACAAAAATTCACAAGTAATTCGTAACGTTGTTTATGTGCGTGAAAGACCATATAATACATAAACACCGTAATAAGGGGTAGATTTTCGGTCAATTAGTTGTCTCTGCCATTCAATTGACCCGTTTTTGTGACAAACTTTCGCTACAAATGAATAACAATTAATGTATGATTTAAATGACAATCAAACGAATGCTTACATGTATTCAATGCAATATGCGATCAAATGTAACGTTATTTGTGAACAGATCTCATCACGCATTCAGTCATTGAAAAAACATTTTGTTTACATTTTTTTTGGCCCACAATTGATATCACGATTGAAATCTAGTTTACCATCTGTTGAGTCCAAACACCACATCATTATCATCGCAACAACGGATCCATTGAGAGTGAGAGAGACACTCAGCGGCGGCGAGTATTACCCCCTGTTATCACCTGAATCTGATCCAAGACTGAAGACAATCGCGGCGACCGAATGGCCGGTTACGAGATCTCAAAGTTTGTGTCTTTGCCGCCGAGTATTGTCGACGAAGTGACGTAAGTATT